GGGGCCATGAGAGCCTCCCAGATTTCATAGTTCCTCTTCTCATTGCAATGCGTCCCTGACCCTTCCCCCTGGGCCGCGCACGTGCCGCGGGCCAGAATTTCCGCGCCCCCCTCTCGGACGTCCCCCTCTCGGCCGCCCCCGAGGGAGGGGGAGGGGGAGGGGTATGGGACAGGCTAGGTGCGCTCGCGTTATATCTGACGTCCTACCCCTCCCTCCCATCCCTTACCATGGCGTAGATCTCCTCTCTATTCGCACAGTCGGATGTCGTAGCAGGGCATGGCTTTGCATGGCATAGCATGGTGTCGAAGAACAGCGCGTAGCCTGACATAGCATGGCGTGGCGACGCCCCAAAATGGGAGGGAGGGGGGGGGCTTCTGCGGCCCCCCAAAAATCAACGAATCGACACCGAATGTGTAATTACTTCCGATGGGTTTTTCAGTGCTGCATTTGTTTGATTCCGGTGCCTACTTGGAAGGACCGAAAACCATGCCGTGGCATGGCGCTGGAAATAATGTCGCCAGCGTTGCAGCGGGAGCACGATTCGGAACGAGCGGAAGCCCGGGAATGAGGGCAGCGCTGCAGCGGGAGCACGACGCGGAGCACGCGGAGTTTGACATAGCATGGCGTGGCGGCGGGGGGGGGCTTCTGCGACCAAACAATGAATTAATCGACACCGAATGTGGAATCATTTCCGACGGGTTTTTCGGGGCGGCATGTTTTAGATTTCAGCGCCTACTTGGAAGGACCGAAAACCATGCCGTGGCATGGCGCAGGAAATAATGACGCCAGCGCTGCAGAGCACGAGCCAGAACGAGTGGAAGCGCGGAAACGAGGCCACCCGTGCAACGGGATCACGATTTGGAACGAGCGGTAGCCCGAACATAAGGCCAGCGCTTCAGCGAGAGAAGCATTTGGGAGAAAAGCCCAAGCGAAAGCCCGTTTCCTGGGAATCCTGTGTGTAAGCAAGAATCAAGTGCGCAGAGGGGGGGCGAACATTTCTCGGACGTCACCAGGGGAGCGAGGATAATTGTATTCATATTGTGTAACTGTGGAGGAGGAGGCGGAGGGAGGTCTGGACGAACAGTACTACTTCCCAGCCACCCCCCGCTCCTTTCGGACGCACCCCCACAGCGGCGATTTCCCAGCGTCTGTCTTGATGCAGCTTTTCTCGCATTTGCTTCAGCTTTGCGCCGTCCTTGCTGCTGATCCCTTTGTTGTAGCAAAACCTGCAAGACCTCCAACGCGCTTCAAATCGCAAATAGTTTGAACATGGTTTCGATATTGTTTAGACATGTAGCCTCGTTATTCAACGTTGCTGTCTTGCTACTTTGCTAGTTTGCTTGATCCCTGGTTTTCTAATTCCTGGGTTTAAGTGAGTTTCAGCAGCCAGGCATCAGGCAACTACACTGCTCTTATCTAAAAGAGTGAAAACACGAGTTGTCAAAACAAGAATTTGCTAAGTTGCCCCTGACCCTCGGATGTTGAGATCCAGGGATCAAGTGAATCCCAGGAACCAGGGTTCAGCCGTAACAGCACACGTTATACCATGCTCGAAATGTTGGCGGCGAGGCTAAGTGTCTGAACAACTCAATGTTTAAACATGGTTTCTCTCTTGTGTGAGTTTGTTTGGTCCCTGGCTGTTGAGGTCCTGGGCCCAAGTGAATCCCAAGAGCCAGAGATCATGCAACTAACCAAGTTTGTTGAACAACAAACCAAGTTTGTTGATCAACCGAATTCAATGCAACAAATACATGTTGCTATTTTGACTGACCCCTGGATTTCGAGATCTTGGGGTCAAGTGAATCCCAGGAGCCCAGGACCAGCCATAACATCATACATATTAAAATCTAGCAATTGTAGGGGGGGAGGTTAATTCTTCTATTATTGCAAATGCTTGTTTACAATTGCTGTTTTGCAGGATCCTTGGTTTTTGAGGTTTGGGGCCCACGGGAATCCCAGGTACCAGGGATCAGGCAACAAAGCGACCTTTCTTCAAGTATTAGGGTGAAGGACCCAACCATATGCGGTTGTGAGTAATGCCGCTGCGGGTATAGCCCAGGTCGATTTTCAAATGGGGCCATGGAGCATGCGATGTGTGTGTGTGTGCCGATATGGTGCGTGGCCGCCATGTAGGCGTTGCCAGTGGGGCTTCAGGTGTAGCCCATTATGGGGCCGCGAAGTCCGCGAGGGGTGCGCCGCAATGGGCGCGGCCGCCGCGCAGGCGCTGCCACTGGGGCCTCACTTGAGCTCTTTGTGGGGCGACGAAACGCGCCGTGAAATGCACCCCGCAGGATAACACCTACCAGAGCGCACGAATCATTCCTGACGGCTGGCGGTGCCGCCCTGCCACGGAGGTCTTCGGTGGATCTCCCGATGGGGCCACACAACATTGTCTTGGGTGGGGGAGACGCATGCGAACGCCGCCACTGGGGCTTCCGGAAAAATTTCTGGGTGGCAACAAACCGTTGTAGTCAGTGTTGGAAACGCATGCGTGCACGGCCACAGGGGCCTTCGGTGGAGCTCCTTCTGGGGCCACGAAACGTCGTACTTGGCGGAGGAGACGCATGCGTACGCTGCCACTGAGGCTCTCGCTGGATCTCGGTGTGGGGCAACGAAACGCTGTACTGAGTGGGGGAAACGCTTGCGAACACCGCCACTGATGCCATCGGTGGAGCTCCCTATTGGGCCACGGCCTGCACTGAGAGGGGAGACGCATGCGAACACCACCAGTGGGGCCTCCGGTGGAGCTCCCTATGGGGCAACAAACCGTTGTAGTCTTTGTTGGAAACGCATGCGGACACCGCCACTGGGACCATCGGTTGAGCGCCCTTTTGCGCCACGAAGCGTTGACGCATGCGAACATCGCCTCTAGGGCCTTCGGTGGAGCTCTCCATGGGGCCACGAAGCGTTGTACTGGTTGGTGCAGACGCATGCAAGAACCGCCCCCAGAGCTTTCGGTGGAGCTTCCCATGGGGCCACGAAGCGTTGTACTGGGTGCCAGGAGAAGAGGTGGAGGAGAAGGAGGAGGAGGAGGAGGAGGAGGAAGGGGGAGGGACGAGGAGGAGGAGGAGGAGGAGCAGGAGGAGGAGCAGGACGAGGAGGAGGAGGAGGAAACGATGAGGAGGAGGAACAGATCAGGAGGAGGAAGAGGAGGAGGAGGAGGAGGAGGAGGAGGAGGAGGAGGAGGAGGAGGAAAAGGTGAGGAGGAGGAGGAGTTTTTGGGCAACGTTCGGGGGATAGGTTTGGGGGGGGGGGGGGCGGATCGGCCCCGCCACCCGCCCTGTCGGCGATGTGTCGCCGATTCCAGGTCAACGCTTCTCCCCCCCACCCCCCCCCCACCCACCGCCACATCACCTCCTGGTGCGCTCTTGGGCAGCTCTTGCGGCAGTCTTGAGGCCACCTCGGAGCCCTTGTGGCCCCATCTTAGTGCCATATTGGGGCCATCATGATGCAGACCATCGAGAACGAAACAGTGATACGGCAGGCAAGCATGGATGCATTTTCGGTTGTGTAAGGATACTTGCCTCTCGAGGGTGTCCTTGGGAGGCCCCGTGGCCACTTGGAGCCGTCTCAGGGCGGTTTGGGTGCCTCTTGGAGTCATGGTGGAAGTCATCTAGAACCATCGTCGGATATTGGAGGCCATCTTTGATGTCATCGTTGGCTCTCGCTGGCCCCCATGGAGCAACATTGGGCGCTATAACCCCTCTCAGGGCCCTCCAGACCCAGCGGGGGTAGGAGCGAAAGTTCAAGCCACCCCCGAAGGACGGCCGTCTTGCTCACTACCACCCTCCCTCCCGAACCAGAGTCTCAGAATTGGCAATGGAGAGCCAGTGGGAACCAAACTAGACGCCAGGTGTGTGACGATCGCGAGGTGCACCGCGCGTGCGAGGTGCGCCTCTCGCACCAGGGGCGCTAGTCGCCAGAGAGACTCAGGCGTGAATGGTGCGCCAGAGGAGCCGTGGGCTCCACATTCGCCAAGTGTGCCACGTGCTCCGCCCGCGCCAGGTGCGCCACGTGCGCGGCGCGCGAAAAGTGCGCCAGGTGCGCCAGCACACGTGACAGCACGCATCGGGGAACAATTCGACCCCCCATCTTCTTTGAACATCAGCGCGACGTGGCGGCGGGTTGCGTGCATCCGCAAACACGCTGCATGTGCTTCTGACAGGGATGGTGGGCCCCCCCGCACACACTCTCTCACTACGTAGACAATATGCGCCCCAAAACCCCTGTCAAATAACAGTGCGAACTAATCGCAGGACTCCTGCGCATGGTCCAAGATGTTGCCGCAACTTGGTTACGAAAAAGTGTATAGGAATGGCGGGGCTGTACACGCGGGGCAGTATGATGCCTCCCCCGCCGTCCATGTTAACAACAAGACAATTGATTGCGGGGCGTCCGAACATGATCCTGATTTTTCTGCAAAGTGTACGTTGTAGCGGTTTTGTGACAGTCATGGTGGGGGAGGGGGTCGGCATTGACCCTGCATCGTCGACCGTGCAGTGCAGGGAGGGCATGTTTATCAAACACGCACCGGTGATAAACCCATCCCCCCCATCCTCGAAGCAGAAGCAAGGGGTTGGAAGAGGAAGCGCTTCGGACCACCTCAGCCCAGAAGGCTGGGGCAAACCCCTCCCCGAAAGGGAATAAGGGAGGTGGTGGGAATGGAAGCCCCTCATAATGGAGGGTGACGATTAATAAATGACCGGGGGTCGTGTTCACGCGGCGGCGCCCGGGATGACGATTTGAAAAAACCGGCCGCGGGCTGGAAAACTATTTTTTAAATCGTTCTCCTCCAGTCAGAAAATTGTGCAGAAATAGCAGGAAACTATTTGTGGAATCGTTCCCTCCCTTTTTTTATTAATCGTCATCCCGCATTACCACCTCCGCCCAGAGGGCCCGTGGGATGCGACCCCTCCCGAAGCCACCCTGCCTCGATCACTGCCGCTCCACGGGGGCCCGGCGGACCGCGCGCGCCTCCCCGAGAAGTCCGTCGGGGGGCGATGGCCGCGCTGCAGCAGCCTCTGCTGCGGGCGGCCGCGGCCAGCGCCGCCGGGGGCCTCGATGCCGACGTGCTCGTCTCGGGCGCGGGGCCGGTGGGGCTTCTGATGGCGATCGAGCTGAAGCAGCGCGGCGTGCGCGTGCGGATCATCGACCGCCTGGCGCAGCAGGACAAGAAGACGAAGGCGATCGGCGTGCAGAAGAGCAGCTTCAGGGTGCTGCCGACCGCGGTGCTGAGGCGGATCCAGGCGGAGTCCTGCCAGGTGAAGGGCTTCCGCCTCCACGAGGTCGTGGGGAGCCAGCGGACGGAGCTCGTGCATCTGAGAGGGGCAAACGTGCCCGCCAGGAACGAGTACAACCAAATGGAGTGCATCGAGCAGTGGAAGTCCGAGAGGTTCTTGGAGGACCACCTGAAAGGACTGGGCGTGGCCGTCGAGCGTGGCACAGAGCTGGTCAACTTCGAGCAGAAGTGGGACCACGTCGACTGCGACTTGGGAGTGTCTGGCGCGACCAAGAAGCTGAAGGTCGGGTTCCTGGTTGGGTGCGACGGTGGGTCGAGCTTCGTCCGGAAGAAGCTGGGCTACGAGTTCAAGGGTTCTGTTGCAAAGGAGTCCTTCGTATCCGCGCACTGTTATGCAAGAGGGCTTGCGCCATTCTGCCGACCCCAGAGGAGTGGATGGGCAGTTTATGACTTCGTGTGTGCTTCACGGCAATTCCCGTCGTGGTGCCTGTATGTATCTGTTGCCGATTCGCTTTTGTTTTGAGGCCTAGTAGGTGGTCTCTGGAAGCTTTTCTAACGGCGTGTCGGGGGTCTGCAGGTTCCCCAATTTCCCCAATTGGGCCTCTCTGGTGCCCCTCTTCGACCCTCCTGAGATTGTCTTGCTTGCCGTAGTGGGGGCTCCTCTTGAGCCGAGCCGTCTTTGGGCCCTCTGGGGCCGTCTCCGGCCTTCTTGGGGCCCTCCTGGGTCCGGGGTGACCTCTCGCACCGTTTTTGTTGGCTCGCAGACGCCCGCAAAAAGGCGAGAGCGCGGGGCAACGGGACATCATTGCTTGCGGGACCTTTTTCGGCCCTCCCTGTCTTGGGTCTTGGGCCGTCTAAGGGGCTGTCTGGGGCGTTCACGGAGGCCTCTCTGGCGCGCGGGAGCCCTTCTGGAGCATCGCGGGCATCTTGGCGGCCACGGAGGGTTGGTTCTGAGGCTTCGATGGCCCTGGAAGTGTGCGTTGGTGAGCTCGTGCCCCCCCCCCCCGAATGGGGTTCTTGCACCCCAGGGAAGGGGGGAAGGGGGGGAGGGGTCTGAGCCTGCACCTCACGCGCCTTTCCGCCCCCGTCGGGCGGGGGTCGGCGGACTTCGAGAAGCAGGTCGGCTCCGCGGGCTACGCGGACATCTTCCTCGGCAAGAACGCGCCCGGGGCCGACCCGCTCGCCGCGGGAATGTGCGTGTCGCTACCCCTGCACGACGGCGAGCACCTCATCAACCTCGACCTCGACGAGAGCCAGCAGGAGAGGTACGTCACCGACGAGGTGGACTCCCACGGCTGCCGCAAGCTCAGGCAGCTCACGCGCGAGGACATCGTGCACATGTTCCGCGCCAGGTCCGCGTGCCCCGAGCTGACGGTGCCGCCAGAGAGGGTCACCTGGATCTCGCACTACCGCGTGAACTCACGCCTGGCGGAGCACTTCGGCAGCGGCCGTGTGTACCTGGCCGGCGACGCTTGCCATTGCCACTCCCCGGTGGGCGGACAGGGAATGAACATGGGCATCCAGGATGCCAAGAACTTGTCGTGGAAGCTCGCCGCTGTCGTGAGGGGGACCGCCGATCACAGCTTGCTGCTGTCGTACGAAGAGGAGAGGCGGAACATCTCAGGCCAGCCACAACTGGGGGAGCTGTGGTCCTTACCCCCCCTGGGGACCCATCGATTTCGACAACCCTCTCGAGAGATCGTCGAGGCGATGGGTTCCCCCAGGGGGGTAAGGACCACAGCTCCCCCAGTTATGGCTGGTCGGCATCGACGCGAAGATCACGAAGGGCGTCCACCTCGCCACGTCGGTCTTCTCCAACCGCAACCCGCTGGCGTTCTTCTTGCGCGGCCGACCTCAGCGCGCCGTGGGCGCGCTGGTGGGCATGGTGCCGGACTTTGCCAAGACGGCCCAAGGGTGGTCCTACGGCGCCACGTCCTCGCTGGCCCACGAGCACTGGGAGCGCCCCACCGCCTGCGCGACGCTCAGGGACGTATGCCGCCATCCGACCAGAGTCTACCGGCGGCGGCAGAACATTCATCGATGGAGCAGTTCGATCGGAGCGAGGGTCTCCGCTGGCGACATGGTGCCACCTGTGCTTGTCGGCGACGAGATCATTTACGATGTGATCAGGATAGAAGAAGAAAAATTGCATAAGCAGAAAGTTTCCGAGTTCCGCGCGGATTTCTTGGATCTGCCCTGGGCCCCCAGGCGCCGCCTCTGGCGCCGCCGTTGGCACGCTCCGCGCACCAGGGAGGGGGGCCTGGCGTAGATCTAAGAAGTCTGCGCGGACCGTTCAAAGTTTAGTTTATGCTGTCTTTCGTTGCTCTACAGGAGTTCCCCTGGCTGGACTCTTCTCGTGTTCGAGGGCGACGCGAGCGCGAACAGGGAAGCCTCGGCGAACGGCCTTCCGATTCTGAGCCACGACCAGCTGCACGCCTTTGGGCGTGAGTTGCGACAGGATCCCGCCGAAGGCAGCGCTGGCTTCATCGACAAGATGGTGGTTTTCGCGTCGAGCGACTGGGACGCGCACTCGGCTTTCGGCGTCCAGGGCCAATGCGCGTTCGTGATCCGTCCCGACGCCTACGTTGGCCTGCGGAGTGAGCCTGTCCGGAAGGGCGCCGTCACGAGGTACTTCCGGAGCATCGGCGGTCTTGGCGTGCCCGCGCACCACTGCCCGCCCGGCACTTCGACGTTCGACCCCCTCCCGGCGACGATGCTCGCCGTGCTCGTGTCTGTCATTGCAGCCGTCGTCTGCAGCCAGACCTATCGGTAGTCTCGCGCATTCGCGTTTTGCGCCCAGCGCCATGAGTAGCGCTCCAGCACCTCAGGAGGGTCTGTCTGTCCTGCATGCAGGAGCCTGTGCGCCAGCGGCTATTCGTGCGGCTCGTCCTGGGAGCTTCAGAGGGGTCCCAGAAGTCCTGGCGCTTTGGGGGACTTCGTCTGCCGTTCGTCGGAGTTGGTGGACATCTGGATCAAATTCTGACGAAATCCCAATGACATGCGGACGAACTGTCTGGACGAAAAGGAGAAGGGGGGTGGTCGAGATCTGGACGAAATCTGGTCGGAATTACGCTTATGGGGTCGACAGAGGCTCCCATGCAGGCTTACCGGGGATCTGAGATCTGTAGGCGGTGCTCTTGGCGACGGAGGAGTGGCGAAATCGTCTTCGATTTTTGCGCATCCACAGGGCCTGGGCTATTCAGAAAGCGCCTCCTGGCGCCTCCTCCTCTTCCTCCTCCTCGATGACCAGGCGTCAAGCTTTTCGCTGTAGCATATACATACGGCGCTTCTTTTACATACATGATCGATTTCAGTATAGTTGATGTTGACGGCTCGTAGTTGTTGACGTTTTTTTTTTTACCATTCGGATTTGCGTCCTGGTGCCTGCAGGCACCTCTGGGGGGACGTCTGTAGACCGCTCGGAGCCTCTCACGATACCTATTGTAATGTCGCGAGCCGCGGGCCATCGCACCATTTGAGGAAAGCCGAGCTTATGCCAGGCTACGAGAAGAGCGATGCAGAGTCGACGATGAAAGCCCGAATTCGGGAGGATGGTGCGGATGGCATGGTGGCGTGTGTCGTGTCAGACGTGACGTGTTCCAGGTCGACGGCGCGTGTCGGTGCCCCTCTTTCTTCATCTTCCTCTTCCATCTTGTGCGATGGCCTGTGCTGGTCGCGTGCGCGCCATGGATTTGAGAGAGACTTGGCACACGGCGCGCCTTTGTGCCGCGTTATTCTTGGTATCGTCCTCTTCCCTCCCCCTCTCTTTCTTGTTTCAACGCTCTCAGGTCTTTGCTGGCTCCCGGATGCCTCCAGAGGCTTCGATGGGGGGCCTCCAGGGACTTCCAGAGGCCGTTTTGTTCTGGAGGCCTCTCGCGGTAGCTCTCGTGTGACCGACCCCGTTTCTTCTCCCCACCGGTTCCTCCTCACCCTCCTGCTCTATTCTTCCCCCCCTCCTCCCCCTATCCCATCCCTAGCCTACCACCCCTAACGTTGCCCCTGAACTCCTCCTCCTCCTCCTCCTCCTCCTCCTCCTCCTCCTCTCCTCCTCCTCCTCCCTCCTCCCTCCTCCCTTCCTCCCTCCTCCCTCCTCCCTCCTCCCTCCTCCCTCCCTCCACCCTCCACCCTCCACCCTTCTCCCTCTCCTCCCCCTCCTCCTCCACCCCCTGAGCCCCCCCTCCCCATCCTCTCCCTCCTCTCCCTTCTCCCTCTCCTCCCCCCCTCCTCCCACCCCTCCACCACCCCCTCCTCCTCCTCCTCCTTCATCCGCCTCCTCCTGCCCCTCCTCCTCCTCCTCGTCCTCCTCCTGCTCCTCCCCCTCCTCCTCCAATCCCTCCACGGACTCCTCCTCCTCCTCCTCCTCCTCCTCCTCCTCCTCCTCCTCCTCCTCCTCCCTCCTCCTCCTCCTCCTCCTCCTCCTCCCCCCTCCGGAGAAGCCCTCCTCCTCATCCTGCGAGGGCGGGGGGGCAGCATGGCTGTCTGCCGGCAGCCGCGTTAGCGGGGCTGCTCCTGGCGGCCGCTCCGATGTCCTCCTCCTCCTCCTCCTCCTCCTCCTCCTCCTCCTCCTCCTCCTCCTCCTCCTCCTCCTCTTCCTCCTCCTCCTCCTCCTCCTCCTCCTCCTCGCCCTCCTCCTCCTCCTCCTCCTCCTCCTCCTCCTCCGCCTCCTCCTAGTCCTCCCATTCCCTGGGCCGCGCCTCGGCTCGCGACAAGAATACCACGTACGTCGGGTGCTCCAGAAAGGGCCTCGCCTTCGAGGATCGAGGGAGTCATGATCATCTCCGCGGCGGAAGGCGGCGGAAGGCGGCGGAGATAGAACGGAAGCCTCGACGGCTCGAGACGTTTGCCGTCCCAGCGGACGGTCGTGCCAGGTCGCAAGTCCTGGCCAGCCCTTTGCCTCCCGCCAGTTGCACCATGGCTGCCGCTGCTGTAGGCTGCTGGCGGGGCTGCTGACTCAGGGCCCGCTGCGAGGCGAGCGTTCGCGGGCAGCCCGACCCGCGAGGACAGCACTACTGGAGCCGTTTGCCCCAGGCAGCTGGAAGCAGGGCGTATAGGCATGCGCGGCAAGCGTGCCCTGAGGCGGGCTGTGCGGCTCGCGTTGGTGGTGGGCGCTGCTTGGTACCGAGGACGACGATACACTCGAGCCGATGCAGCGCAACCTTTCCCAGGATTGCTCACCAGCGAACCGCCCCAGCTGCGCCAACAACCTGAAGAGCTCGATCGCGAGCCAGCTCGGAATGACGCAACGTGCTTCAAAGAGAGGACCGTGCGGCTCTGGAGCTTCAACGCTGAATCACTCCGCCGAGTTGGCCGCTTGGAGGAGCTTCTCGAACTGGCGAAGGCAGAAGACGTGGCCATCTTCACGATGCAGGGCACCCAGATGGACTTGGGCATGACCTGGCAGTCGTGCGGCTACAGCGTCCACTCTCACCCTCGTTCGGGTGTCGGCCACCGCGACGGCTGCCTCATCGCCATCAGCGCGCGCCACTTCAAGCCTGGCGAGGTCAGGTGCGAGCACTCGTGGCTGCCAGGCAGGCTTCAAGGCATTCGCCTTCGCAGCCGTGGTCACAGTCGCTTTGAGCGCGACCTCTACATCCTGAACGGCTACGCGCCCACCAATGACCCTGGTCGACCCCCGAATGGCGTGGATGCTGGCGCCTTCCGTGAAGCTCATTTTTCTCAGCAGGAGGCCTTCTGGCGCGCATGCCGCCACGCGATTGGCCTGGTCCCTGCTCGCACTTCTTTGGTGGTCACGCTGGACGCCAATGCTCACCTGCCTCCCCACCCTCCTCTGGTTGGCCACGCTGGCGTTCGTGGGCATGCCCCCCTCATCAACAATAACGGGCGCGCTCTGATGGACATCTTAGAGGATTTCGGGCTGGCGGCACTCAATACGTTCGGAAAGAAAGGCCGCCGCAATGGCACATGGAGGAGCCCCGCAGGAGCCTGGACCACCATCGACTATGTTCTTGTCCGACGCCAGGGGGGATACGGCCACGCTTCCCGTCCTCGCTTCGACCTTCCAGTCAACCTTGGAGGATATCGGGACCACCGCCCCCTACAGACGAAATTGTTCATTGGGGCCCGCTTAAAGTCCACGGGGCCCTGTACACGACCTCGCTGGCGCCGTGAACTTCTCATCCAAGACCTGCGCGCAGTCCAACTGGCAGAGGAGGACTTCGAGCACAGCCACCCCATCCCGGATCGTGCGCATCTCTTCCGCACTAAGGTCCAGGAGGGCATCGAGGCGATGAGCTTGCAAGAGGATTGGATCGATGTCTGCGGCAGTGGCAAACGCTTTGCCAACCCCTCCGAGTACTTCAACGCGATGGAGGGCGTCATCATCGAGGCCGCCTCCCAGGACTACATTGACATGCCGCAGCCTCGAGGTGCTCCTACGGGGCCAGCTTTCTCGGAGGCCACAGTGCGACTCATCAAGATGAAGCATCATTGGCAGCACCAACTGGCCGCTCTCTCTTCGAGCTCGAGATGGCTGACCCTCTTCTTCCACCAGAAGTTCCTCGAGGCATCCAAGATCTGCACCAAGGCCATCAGGAGTGAGAAGCGGCAGCGCATGGCTCATCTCGCCGCACTTGCCGAACGCTCGGCTGGCGAGAACAACCTACGGCGCCTGTCTTCCATCGTGCGCCGTCTCGCACCCAAGCCGCCTGCGTCCATCATGACCGTCAACGACCCACAGACAGGCCTCCCATGCTTTGACTCAGACCGTGATAACCAAGTCCGAGTGGCGAGTATCTGTTCGCTGTGCAATGGCACGGCGATGGCGCTCCATGAACTTCCAGTCCGAGCCCGTGACATGGGCCGCGATGATGATCGCATTGGGCAGTATGACCTGGCCGACATCAAGCAGGGCATTCGCAACCTACCGAACTTCAAGGGAGGCCCTGCCTTGCAGTGGTTTCCATTGGCTCCTCCCACTGGTGCGGTTGCAGAGACTTGGAAGCTCGCCTTGGAGAACGTCAGCCCGCCCTTACTCCAGATCATTCAATGCAGCCAGGCTTTGGGCTCCGCGCCCCAGCGGTTCAAGGATGGCGAGACAGCGCACCTGCGCAAGCCGAAAGGCGACGGGAAGTCAGCCATGAACGACTACCGCACCATCAGCTTCATCAACCACATGGGCAAGGTCTTCGCGCGAGTCACCGCCCTTGACGCCATGCGCGACATCTCCCACAGGATCTCCCCGACCCAGTTCGGCGCCATGCCTGGCCGTGGCACTCGGGGCGCAATTTCGGTTGCGATGGAGGTCATCACTCGTCATCAGCAAGCCCATCGAGTTCGAGCACGCGGACGCGCCACGGATCCTCCTCCTATGCTGCTGGTCATCCTTACTGACTTGGAGAAGGCCTTCGGCATCATCGCACGGCAGTCCATTTGGGACAGCCTGGAGTCTCTCCAACTACGGCCTGATGCACGTGAGACGCTGGAGGAGCTCCACGACGGCATGTGCTGCCGCTATCGTGATGTGCGCACTCGCCTACCCTGCTCTCGCATGCATGTTCAGCGCGGCGTCCGCCAGGGAGGAGTGGCAAGCCCTGGTCTTTTTGTCGCTGCTTATGACAAGCTAGTTGCCGAGGTGGCAGAACGTCAGCGTGAGAATGAGTTTCCTGGGATCTTCGTTTACTTTGACCCTAGCCTCAAGAAGATTCGCACCTCGGACCCGCTGCCGAATGACTCCTGCGAGTGTCTGGACGTTACCCACCTCAAGTTCTTAGACGACCTGCTGACGTTTGGAGAGGTGAACAACTTTGACGAGGC